GGCTTTCTTGGCCAATCAGATCTATCAGCAGCCTGAGTTATAGGACTCTTTCCAAAGTTGCTAGGAGTCCTCTGGCAGGAGTTTCGAAACCTCGGTCAGTTTTTCAAAGTCGGCGTTAGCATGCCAGATGCTTCAGAAAGGAACTCAAGCCAAATGGCAGGTGTGTCTGGAGAGCTGCGGGATTTAACTCCAAAAATGGGAAAGGCTAAACCCAGTTTCTAGAGGAAAAACTGGGGCAGTGACCAGAAATAAGCCAGAGGCAAGAAATAGATAGGATAACTGAAATAGGCTCATTGTTATTGCTACCAAACTTCCCTCCTAATCTCCACTGAACACACAGAGATGTCAATATATGTGTCCTTTTCTGTCTTTTTACAACACTCTAGAAACCATAAACCTGCAGATTCCCATCTAGGTCAGGCAAGTTCTGATGAGCAGCCTTGATGAATGTGATTCTCTGTGACATAGGAGTTCCATAGCTATGAACATGGCCAGGCCCCAGCCCTTGGGCATCTGAGGTCATCACTGTGGCATACAGCAGGCTGACACTTCAGGCTCAGTCTTTCGAGTGCTGGGATTACAGGTGTGCGCTATCATGCCTTGCAAATCATGACCTTTAAGAAAACTTCCACTGCTTGTTTTAAACATCGCCAGATTACATTTCCTTGTGTGTTTCATACTTCTGTGTTCTCAGAAATTGAAACAGCATTTCTGTTTGTTGGGATTTGAACATTCACAGGCTCTTTCCAGAGAACTCTTAAGGCTTTTAGGCAAGGACTCTCTTGCCATAAATGCCACATTCAGGTTTTTATTTCACTTTTCCTGGATATGAAAAGATGTGACTTGGATATTAAAATGATATACGTGTTCCATATTAGTGTGAGTGAAGTAAACATCCTCCAACTGCTACACCAGCCAGTTTGTCAATATTATTTCAACCAAGGCATCAGCTCTTCTCCTGAGATCAAAAAGGAAGTAGGAGCTTTCTGGCAGTAATATGTTTAGCTTGGGAAATGTCAGATGCAGAGCGGGCCTGACAAGTTCTCATCAGAACGCTGGCTAGGGAAAGTTTACGTTTCAATCTTCAGCTCTTTATTCAGGCAGGTTAAATTGCCCAGAATGTCAATCCATTGTGGAATTGAATGCAGGCAGAGAGCAAGCTTTCAGTGTGATCTTGAGTTTTTCTAGACCAGACACTGGCAGTTGAGACCTAGCATGTATGACCAGTGCTTTGTCTACCTGTCCTGTTTTCTTACGGATGACATTTGCCATTCTAGATTGCACAGGGACCAGCTCCTTTTCATCAGATGCAGTGAGGTTCTTTTGTGGCTTTGTGGTTTTTGTGAAAGAGGGCCTTTTCTGGGGCCTTAAGGATCACAGCTGCGCCCCACTCCTCCTGGCTGCCAGGTGTTTCTGATGACCCAGCAGTAACATTCTCAAATAACATCAGGTGCTTCTGAGAAACTCCTGTAGCAGGGTGTCAGCAGCTCATGCCTGTAATCCTAGCTCCTCAGGGGGCTGAGATCTGAGGATGGCAGTTTGAAGCCAGTCCAGGTAGGAAAGTCAGTTAGATACTTATCTCTTTTCTTTTCTTCTTCCTCTTCTTCCCCTCCCTCTCCCCCCTCCTCCACTCATGGGGCCTGAACTCTGGGCATGGGCTCTGTCCCTCAGCTCTTCAGCTCAAGGCTAGTGCCCTACCACTTGAGCCACAGCTCCACTTCCGATAGATACTTATTTCTAATTAACCATCAAAAAGCTGGAAAAGAATGTGTGACTCAAGTGGCAGAGCACCAGCATTAAGTGGAGAAACCTAAAGGATAGCACCTAGGGCCTGAATTCAAGCCCCAATACTTTTATACACACACACACACACACACACACACACACACACATACACACACACACACAGAGGGGGGGAGAGAGAGAGAGAGAGCATCATGATGAAAGGTGGAATCAGGAAGAAGAGAGTGGAGAGATGATGTTAAGGTAGGGCTGGCAGGTGGATCAAGAAAGCCTGAGATAACTCCTCTAGTAAAAGAAACTGAGACCCTTTGAACCCTCAAGCTCCCTGTGATGCTGTCCATAACCATGACCCTACTTAAGCCCTGCACCCCTGCCACCAGTGCACCAAGCCTCATGTCTCCTGACCCCCCTCGGCCACCATGGCATCCCTCTTCAACTCTCCATTAAAGTTGATCTGGTCTGAAGAAAGGAAAGAAAGAAAGAGAGAGAGAAAGAGAGAGAGGAAGGAAGGAAGGAAGAGAAGGAAGGAAGGAAGAGAAGGAAGAGAAGGAAGGAAGGAAGAGAAGGAAGGAGGGAAGGAAGGAAGGAGGGAAGGAGCTCCCATTCCCCCTCTCTTGCCCATGACTGGAAAGCACAGGCATTAGGGACCCTTGGCTCCACCTCATCAGGTCGCTATGGTAAGGTGGGGCATACACCAGTCTGTGGCCTAGATTATTTGGCTTAAAATTTGAATTTATGGAATTTTATTTTATATTTTCCCAAGGACAATTACCAGAGCCAAAAAAAAGCACCCCAAAGACCATTTGTTGAACTGTGCAGGTATCTCTTTACGACGCGAGGGCCTCAGCCTTGCAGAGCTGGGAAAAGGTTACCTAAACACTAAGCTGGCTTCATCAGGGCTATCATCTGTCAGAACCTAGTGTAAGTCTTCTGAGGTAGAAAGGGGAGGGAGAAGAGAAAATGAGGTGAGAGGGTAGGCATGGAGAGTATCTTAGAATGCATTAAGGCTGGGTGTGGTGTCTCACACCTGTAATCCCAGTGATGGAGGAGGCTATAGCTAGGAGGACTGCTGTCTAAGGAGAGAACTTGAGACCTTAATTAACAAGTAACTGAACTGGGGAGTCTAAGGGGAGAACAGACATGAAGGGACAACAGGTAAATAAATGCAGCAGTGGTACTCACTAGACACTATGTTGAAAATGAACTATACAACTTGTAGGTGGGGATGGGAAGGAAAAAGTGGAGGAAAGAGAGGAAAGGGGTGACATAGTCCAAAAAGAAATGGACTCTGTACTGTTTCCTGTATGTGTAACCCCTCTGTACAGCACCTTAATAGTAACAATAAAACCGTAAATTTTTTTAAAATTTAAAAACAGTTTAGAAACAGTTGGCTAGAGACATAGCTCAGTGTTAGGGTACCGTATAAGGCCCCGAGTACAAATCCCAAATGGCATAATAAGTAAAATTCCTCATGAACTAGAACAATGATAATCATGTTGCTTTGATGAGTTATGTGTCATGTCTTCAAGGAGACCTGGGACAGATTCATTTGGAGAAGATCATCAAGGGGAAAAAAATATTTTTCCAGTCCCCTTCTACAATTCAATTCCATTTTTTTTTCTTATTTTAAAACAACACATTTACTCTAAGCAGATGTTTTCTCTGCTGCCTATGATATGACATGAGAGGAAATTGGTGGGTTTTTTTTTGTTGGTCATGGGGCCTAGAACTTTAGGCCTGGGCACTGTCCCTCAGCTCTTCAGCTCAAGGCTAGTGCTCTACCAGTTGAGCCATAGAACCACTTCCAGCCTTTTCTGCTTATGTGGTGCTGAGGAATCCAACCCAGGGCTTCATGCATACAAGACAAGCACTCTCCCACTGAGCCACCTTCCCAGCCCTGGAAATTGTTCATTTTGAGGCACAGCTGACTGCTCAGTTTGGGAATGGGCAGCCTTAGAGGCTGCTGGCAGGTGGGCCCCTCCCTGGCTTGCTAGGTGCTGCCCCCACGTGAGGATTATGTGGTAGGTGGGTGGAGATATTGAGCGTTCGGTGTGTTAGGTTTCAGAGAGGCAGGGCTCTGCTTACATTCCCATTCATTAATGAACACATATTTACTGGAGCCACTACCCAGGAAGAAGCACAAGTGATTAAAATGCATGCGCTCCTAAGCCTGTCAGCGTTTAATACCACCTCTGTCACTTAGGATCTTAGCTTTGTGATCTTGAGAAATTAGTTCCTCAAAGCCTCAATCTCTTACACAGAAGACAAGTAGTAATAGTTCTTTGTTCTATTATTATTATTATTCTTTAAGAAGTCATATGAAAGGGTTTCAATTCAACATGTCCGCTTAGGAGTACAATGCCTCTTGATCAACATCACGCTTTTCAGCATTGTTCCCCACCTCTCCCAACCCCTCTTATCCTCTCAAGTTACCTGGTTCCTTTTGTGCATCTGTACATTGGCGATTACAAATGCATTCGCCCACCTTTCCTCTCTCCATTCGCCTGCCCCTTTAGTTCCTACTTTGTGAGAGCTGGTGAGGATCAAATGAGAAAGCATTGTAGAAATGTGTGCAAATTCAGGTCAGGCTGAAGTAAGAACTCATCTTTATTTCATTAGGCAACTTGGTTTGCTAGGCTCATCCTCCCAAGCAGTCCCGCTAGTGTTACTATTGATAATGAAGTTCTCTCATCCATTTTGATGCCAGGAAGTGTCATCTCACAAAAACTCACATGTCTAGTCTGGTGTAACCATCCTACCTGGAGCTCTGTTTAATTCAGGCTTTTCTCTGCCCAGCTCCCCCAAGGCCAAGAGGGCCAAGTGGGAGGAGGGAGAAGAGCAGGCGTCCTCTAGCCTTTGTGCCTTATTTCCGGTCACCCCTCAGCTGTGATGGCAGACTTCTCCAAGGTCAAGGGGAAAGAGGACTTAGGGAAGGGCACTGTACAGAGCAAGTGCAGCTGGAATCTGGCCTTGAGGCACTGGGCACACAGACAAAGCTGGCTCTCTGGCTGCACTTCCCAGGCCTGTGTCAGATCCCAGCAGCTCAGCTCTGCCCCTTCCATGCAAGTTTCTCTCCCTGGGCCAGAGGCAAAGCTAACACGAGCCCTTTTCTGGGCTGTTCTGTTGAGATTTGAAAGGGCCTTGGGCTCCAAGCACAAATGCAGGTAGGATGAGGGAGGAGAGGTAAGTCATCCACCCTGGGATCTGATTCTCTTCACTGGCCCTGCGGTCATCTGTCCCTCTCTCTCTTCCTCCAGTGCCCTGGCTGGTGCTTAGCGAGATCTTTCCTGGTGGCATCAGAGGACGGGCCATGGCTCTAACTTCCAGCATGAACTGGGGTATCAATCTCCTCATCTCACTGACCTTTCTGACAGTCACCGGTAAGATGGTGGTTTTCCTCTCCTGCCTGGATCTGGATCTTGTCCTCTTAGAGAAGTTTGTCTTCAGACAAAAAAAAAAAAAAATGTTGTAGAAGTTTTCACACACATCCAGGAGAGATGGGAAGGAGCCTGACACCCAGCACACAACACAATTCTCAGTGTTAATTAACTCACCATCTGGCCTGCTCTTCCCCTTTTCAAGTTATTTTGAGTCATATCCCACAATGGCATTTGTCTGAAAAATTTCAGCCATGACCTCCAAAGGATAAGACAGTTAAAAGAAAATGAAATGATAATACAGTCTCTACACTTAAGAATATTAATAATCCGCTAGGCGCCGGTGGCTCACACCTGTAATCCTAGCTACTCCGGAGGCTGAGATCTGAGGATTGCAATTCCAAGCCAGCCTGGGCAGGAATGTCCATAAGACTCTTATCTCCAATTAACCACCAGAAAACTGGAAGTGGTGCTATCGCTCAAGTGGTAGAGTGCTCGTCTTGAGCTGAAGAGCTGAGGTACAGTGCCCAGGCCCAGAGCTCAAGCCCCACGACTGAGGGGAAAACAAAAAAGAATATCAGTAATCATACCTACTCTGGGGCCGAGTATGGTGGCACACATCTGTAATCCTAGCCACTCAGAAGGAAGAGGTAGGTGGAACATAGTCTGAGACCCTGCTAGTGCAAAGTGTAAGACCCAAGCCAGGTGAGGTGGCTCATGCTCATAATCCCAGCTACACAGGAGGCAGAAATTAGGAGATCACTGTTTAAGGTCAGCTTGGGCAAAAAGTCATTGAGACTCCCACCTCGACAAATAAACTGAGCCTGGTGGTGCATAGCTATACTCTCAGCTATGTTGGGCAGACTGCAGTACAGTGTAGACCAGATGACAGCTCAAGATCCTATCTGGAAAACAAGTTAACACAAGGGGATAGAAGCATGGCTCAAGCGATAGAGTGCTTTTGAGGCCCAGTAGTGCCAAAAAGAATGAAAAAGACAGACAGACACAAATCCACTGTGTTCCCAGGCTACCAATTGTCCTATAACTCTGTTATACTGTGGATGAATCGGGTCCAAACACATAACTTACAGTTTTCTTAGTGTGTTGTGTAATTTGAGACCTGCCTCCATTCCCTGCACCCTTTACCCCATCTTATATTTGAGTGTAGAACCAGGTTCCTTTGTTCTGTAGAATTTTTTTAGTGCCTGGATTTTGTTCAGTATACTTGTAGCACATGTCCTATGTCCCTGCGTCCTTTTTCACTCAGGACTAGTGCTCTACCACTTGAGCCACAGCTCTACTTCTGGCATTTTGGTCATTAATTAGAAATGAGAATCTCATGTACTTTCCTACTTGGGCTGCTCCAAACTATAATCCTCGGATCTCAGCTACCTATGTAGCTAGGGTTACAGGCATGAGCCACACATAGCACCTTTCCCAAGTTCTATCCAGAGAGGCGAAAGATGGACCAATGCTATAAGGGCTTTATGAAGCAACCAGCTGGACAAATCCGGTACCAGTAGCAAGCACAGAGAGAAAGGACTAGTTAAAACTGCAAAGAGAATTGCAGGGCTCACTGACTAATGGTTTCTATGCTTAGATCCCTCCACACTGCAGTTATAAAAATGGCCGCGGCATACAACACTCGGCCAGTTTTGCTGCTCGACCCACCGTGGTTGTGACTGCAGCTGTCAAGGGCTATTTGCAGATCTCATCCGCTGTTGGTCTGAGCCAGCTACTTCCCCAGGGCTCCTTGATATACTGGAATTTTTGCTGCTGAGCCAGGGGTCATCACAGTACAAATGGTAGATTCATTTGGGGACCATCTCTCATCACTTAGCATAACTTGAACTTGACCAGTGACTCCAAAGGTTCTATCTCTTTGGCTAGAAGGACTCTAGGGAAAAACTAGGTTGACAAGTGAAATCTATCAAAATCTTGACATTCTTCCTTCTTGCTGATACAGCCTGGACAGTGCTCAGGCTATGAGTTCAAGCCCCATGACAGACAAAAATAAATAAATGAACTGGGCACCGGTGGCTCATGCCTGTAGCCCCAGCTACTTAGGAGGCTGAGATCTGAGGATCATGGTTCAAAGCCATCCTGGGCAGGAAACTCCGTGAGACTCCAATCTCCAATAAACAACTAGAAAACCAGAAGTGCTGCTGTGGCTCAAGTGGTAGAGCACTTGCCTTGAGCTGGAGAGTTCAGGGAAAGCACCCAAGCCCAGAGTTCAAGCCCCACGCATGACCCACGACGTAAATAAAGTAAAAATAATGCAGTATTGCTGACATGAAATCATTTATTCAAATCAGAGTAAAGAAGTGAGTTCATTCCAAGAAAAGCCCATCTGTACATAGATGACATTAAAAATGTCTACCCAGCTTGGGTGCCAGTGGTGCGCACCTAACATTCTAACTATGTAGGAGGCTGAGATCAGGAGAACTAAATTTGTGAGACTCCATCCTAACAAAAGAAGGCAGGTGCAGTGGCATGCACCTGTCTTACTAGCTATGAGGGAAGCTTACAAAAGGTAGATCGAGGTCCAAGCAAGTGCCCAGACAGGAGGTAAAATGTATTTCAAAAATAACCAGTGCAGTGGGGAGATTGAGGGTGGAGGGAGGGAAAGAGGGGGGAAAATGAGGGAGGGGGTAACAAGTTAGACAAGAAATGTACTCACTACCTTACTTACCTAGCTGTAACGCCCCTGTACATCATCGTGACAATAAAATAACCAGTGCAGAAAAAAGTCTGAAGGTATGGCTCAGTGGATAGAGTGTTTACCTAGCAAGTGTAAGGCCCTGAGTTCAAATCCCTAGAACCCCCAAAAGAAAAAGAAAAATGCCAAAAAACAAGACTGTCCACCCAAATAGAAACCAATCTGTACCAGTGGTGATTCCCAGGAGGGCATTTGTGAACACTAAGATGTTTTACCTCCTTCCCTGCGTACTTCTACATTGTTTGAAGTTTTTTTTTTTGTTTTTTTTTTTGTAAAGAGCACGTGCTTTGTAAAATATTAATAAAGGTGCTTTACCATTTTGAAAAGGGAAAACATGCCAATGCCATCAAGAGGACATTGAGCTTGAGTTGTGGTAGTTAGGTAACAGCTGTTTACTCAAGAAAGCTGGAGTCATTTGTAAAACTGAAACTTCCAGAGCTACCTATGTTTTAATTTGCGAATCTACTTCCTGCTGATGTGTGAAAACACACAAGGCTTTAGAACTACTCTAAGAAGCAGTGTTTACAAATGGGATTAAAGCAATACAAAACCCAGTTCTAATCATTTTTTTTTTTTTTTTGGTCTGTTACAGATCTTATTGGCCTGTCATGGGTATGCTTTCTTTATACAACCATGAGTCTAGCATCCCTCGTGTTTGTTATTTTGTTTATACCTGAGACAAAAGGGTGCTCTTTGGAACAAATATCAATGGAGCTAGCAAAAGCGTAAGTATTTAACCAACAGTAGTCTTTGGTCAAAATGTAGTTTGTATATCCAATAATGTAAATCTGATTGTCCTTGGTGTAAGACAAGGGGCTCTCTCTGCTTTGTCTTTAGTGTGACTGCTTCACCTAAAGAAGCAGAACCATAGTTTTCCAAGTCTGCCTTTTAGAGCTCTGTTAGTAAGGATTGAGAACCCTGCCAAGTAGGCTTACTTTGTTTGGGGTTTGGGATAGGTGTTGAGATTGCGAGCCTGCTGCCCCAGCCATGGGCCAGAATGATTGCTTTAGTCCTTTATCTCTATCAGGCTCATGGGTTTTTGAGCGCACAACTCTTACTAAGCATATGATTGGCAGAAAAGTTCTGGGGTCTAAATGTCTACAATTGCCTTAAAGATAGTATTAAGGAAGGGGCAAGGCATTAGTGGCTCAAATCTATAATCTTAGCTACTCAGGTGGCTGAGAGTTGAGGACTGCACTTCAGACAGACAAATCCAAAAGATTCTTATATGCAATTAACCAGCAAAAAGCTGTACTAGAAGTTGCATTTTACTACTCAAGCTATTACTTCCAGTCTCACATTTTGCTGGTTAGGGTTAATTGGAGATGGAATCTTGAAGACTCTCTCCACACCTCCAAGCTGGGTTCGAACTGCAGTCCTCCACCTGTCAGCTTTCTGAGTAACAAGGATTATTAGCATGAACTACAGGCACCTGGCTCATTTGTTACTTTTGTGTTATGCGATTAAAATTTAAATCCATGCTCTCCCCAGGCTCGTTACAAATTTAAATTAGAACAGGACCGAAGCTAAGAACAAAAATAGAGGAGATCAGTGCAGACAGACAGGAAAGATGCTGGCAAAACAATCCCACCAGTACCTGTTAGGTGTGTGTTATGGTGAAGCCTGCCCAGTATTGGGAGCCGAAAGAACAAAGTTGCTTCTAGAAATCATGACTAACTCTTATGCATGCAATACTAAAGAGCTACAGGCATGCTTTGCCGGGTGTAGTAGAGAAACACAGCCTTTAAGTGAAAATATGAACAGACTTACATAAACTGATCCAAGTATGTATAAAGCATGTGTTATACAAAATTATATTGGAGTGAAATGTCAGTAACAAAAAGCAAATCAAAACTGGTAAGTTACCAAATTATAAGGAAAGGATGGTGGAAAAACTGTAGAACTTGCTGGTTCATAGTGGCTGAAGTGAACTCATTGAGAAAGGTCACTGCTGAACTAAGTGAGCCTTTAGGAATTTAGAAGTTAACAAAACAAGGAATCAACTTTCGTAACCAGGGAAATCAGTCTTGATTAAAACTCTAATGGGTTCTAACAACTAAGAAACTTAAAAATATCAAATTCACTTTAAATTTGGTACTACTCATTGCTTACTATTTTGCTCTCCACTTGCAAGGTGGGTTCTTTTGCCTTTTTTACAAAAGCTGAGAAAACAAAGATTCTTCCAAGGATGTTACATGCTGTAGAAAATAAACAGTGACTCAAGCTGCGAGGTCAGAAAAGCTATCTGCTATAATGCAATTTGAAAGGATTTTGGTTTGAATATCTGCTCTGACAGCTATAATCTTAGAATGTTTGCCCTATTTGCTCTTTCAACTGTGACTTTATTCTTTTTTCCCTCCCAATAAGAGAAAACAAACAAGCAAATGTTTTATACATATTTGAGTTCTGAGGCTTCAATTATTTCCACTTTTAGTGGTTAATTTGAGGCGGCCATTCTTGCACCAAATGTGCATCTTCTAAAGAAGCAGTCAGCATCTATAATAGGCTTTCACTGATCTGGGTGCCTCATCCACTTTAGGAAAAAAGAACAAAAATACCAGAACTAAAACATGGTTTGTTGGGGGATGGGAGGGACTATTTTGGTTGGGTAATCAGAGGAGGTTATTGTAAAAGGTAAGTTTTACTTGAAAGATTGGGGTGGGGAGAGAATTTGTATCAAGAAGAGCTGGCTTGCCAGCCGGTGGCTCACTCCTGTAATCCTAGCAACTCAGGAGGCTGAGATCTGAGGATCAAAGCCAACTGGGGCAGGAAAGTCTGTGAGACTCTAATCTCCAATAAACCACCAGAAAACTGGAAGTGCTGCTGTGGCTCAAGTAGTAGAGTGCTGGCCTTGAGCTGAAGAGCTGAGGGACAGCACCACACCTAGAGTTCAAGCCCCATGACCAAAACAAAAACAAGAGCTGGCTCAAATACTAACTAGGGCCAGGTGCTGGTGGCTTACACTTGTAACCCTAATTATTGAGGGCAGAAAATGTGTGAGATTGTCATCTTCAAATAACCAGCAAAATAGAAAAATACAAGATTGGTGGTAGAGGACCAACCTTGAGTGAAAAAGCCAAGGAGAGTGCAAGGAGCTAAGTTCAAGTCTGTGCAGTAGCACATACAAGCATGTGTGCACGCACACGCACGCACACACACACACACACAGGCTAAGCAAACACAGGCTTGATCTGCTTCAGGAAAATTAAAAGGCCAGAAGGCTACAGATGCTTGCTGAATTAGGAAGTGTTAGCTAGACCAGTGTGAATAGCTTTGAAGACCTCGTAAGGAGCTGGAGTTTCATCCTCAGTTCACAGACCACCAAAGGGTTTTACCCAGGCCAGTAGTTTATGTTAAGGTATGCTCAAGTGAACATCTGCTGCCAAATGAGGCACAGAGCAGCACAGATCTAGGGCTTGTTTTCAATCATGACTGACGTCAAGTGGCCCTCAGTGCTGGCAACGACCCAGATCCCCAGTCCACTAAATCTGCCATTGTTCCAGACAATGCCCAATATCACCTCCTCTCTCCAGAAACCTCCTAACCTCCCCACTTAGCATGGACAGCCTTGCTCTGAACTCACCGAGTAAGTAGACACAACAGGACACCGTCCACATCAGGATTTATATCCGCACACACTACTATACCTCCTTCCCAATACTCCTGGGAGTGGCCAATCCTTTCAGCCACTCTACCATCTCCCTTCTTCAGCCATACCAGCCTCTGCTATAGCCCAGGCTCACCAGACATGCTCAAGACCCAGAGTCTTTGCACTGTTTTTTTGGGGGGGAGGTTAATTGTGAAAATACCATACAGAGGGGTTACAATTACATGGGCAAGGTAATGAGTACATTTCTTATCAAGCATTGTTGCCTCCTTCTTTGTTTCCCCTTCCCATCCCTTCCCTCCCTGCCCTCTTATCTCCCTCCCCGCCTTGCCCCCCTCCACCTGTATCCCTATTTTAAACAATTTGTTTTTTCCCTTCCCCTCCACAAATTAATCCAACATCAAATACAGTGAAAACAGGGGTTAATAACATGGGGGAGGGACATACAAAGCAACAAAGAACTCATCTTATAAAAATGGGTTTGCACTGGTTTTCTAGGTCTTCCCCCTCAACATACAGCTCACTGCTCATCTCCTACCTTTCCTGCCATCCTGTTTAAAACCACCACATCTCCAACTTTATACATCTACTGACCTACTTCTGTCTTAACCAAAGCTGAAACATTCTTTTACTTGGCTTATTATCTCCTCATTTAAATTCCTGGAGAGCAGGAATTTTGCATATTTTACTCACTGCTGTTTCTCAGCACCTGGAACAATCTCTTGGCATATCACTGCGGTGGGTGACACCTCAACTTTTTAACTTGAAGAACTGGGTGGCAGGTAGGATGGGGGATGGCTTAAAGACCTACTCTTCAGGGCACAGGAAATGACTGTTCTGTTTTGAATATATTCATCTAGAGATGTCCACTAGACATCAAAATAGAGGTATGTTATTGATAGTTGGATACATATATAAGTCTGACGTTTCTGGAGAGTCTTTGGTTTAGAGTTGAATGTGGGAGGCTATCAGCTCGTAAGTGGCTTTCAAGTCATGGAACCAGACGAGATCATCTGGTTAGAAGTGAAGAAGAGAAGGAGACCTAAGATTACACTAAGCCTTAGGTTATACAAATTTTAAGAGATCAAAGAAAGGAAAGGTAAAAAAGTATTAAAAGGAGCCAACAGTGAGGGTGGAGGAAAGCCAGACTAGAGTATAACACAAGTCAAATGAAGTGTTACAGGGTATTACAAACAGGGGTACATAGGTTTGTTGGGTAGTCTCAGTGGAGTGAGTACTTTAGAGAACAGAGGTATAGGCATCAGCTCTAGTCCACTCCATGAAGAGGTTGTGCTGTTACATCCTAGACTGTCAATGCTCCAGTCACAAGCGTCCCTTTCACCATCTTTGTCTTCTCAAGTTACTTCCTCAGGGAAGCTGACAAATCTTCTGTCCCTCCAGAGTTGGAAGCCACAAGGTGCCCACATTTTCCTTCCTTTCTTATCCTGCTGTATCCCAGGCACCACCAGGCTCACTCCTTTATGGATTTCCTCTCCCTCCCTTCATGCTTTCCCAGTCATTCACACAAAACACCACTCTGACTACATCAACTTTTATTTTATCCCTCTGAGGAGCTAGTATGCCTAAAGAAAATATACACTATGCTGACAGCATTGTTTTACATTTGTGAACATAATTGCAGGTAGATCTTTATTGCAGTTCTCTGGAGTTGGCTTTCCAGCATGGCATGGTGACTTCACATCTCTACTCTCTCAAGCTTCTAGCACCACCTCCCACTTTTTCTGTGGGTGACTTTAGTTCACTGAGAGAACACTAATGGAACCCACTCAGCCCTCCCGCCACAAGATCTAACCTACTCACATCTATACACATATTCTGCTTTGGTACATTAGCCAATGCTTTCTATTTGTACACTGATTATACCATCCATTTCCCCCTGCTGTAGGATTATGAACACACACAAATATACAAAGGTGAAGTACTTCCCATACTCCAAAAATACAGCCCTGAAGACTTCAAATTCCAAGGACCAACCTATTTACCTGTCCCCAGTTTCAGTTCTCTGGAATTCTGCACACGGTTTCCTTCTATGTTCCACTGTAATACAATCCTTCCCAACCAAGTCATTCATTTTCCCTTTCCCTGCTTACTTTCCTCACTAGCACTTTTACTACTTAAAAAGTCATGCTGTTTCTCTCCTTGAAAACAAGCCTTCAGCCACCCCACCCATACTACCTTGGTTCATTGGTTAAGGTACAAAAAAAGATTTAAATAGGAGGGAATTTCAAAGGTGGCTCCCTTCTCTAATTTAAAAAAAAAATAAAAGCTAAGTGCTATATTCTATTTTTATGCTGATGGAATCAACCTCTAAGAAACAAAATATTAATACAGGAGGCTGGGGTAAATGCAAGAAGGCAGAAACATAATTACAGGGATACTGGTCGAGTTAGAAAAACCAAAGACAATGAAATAGGATTTGGGATGAACTCTCTACTAGTATGTAATGCTACTTTTGCAAGTCCTGGTCTGCAGAAGGATGGTTGTGTTGAGGATACAACCCAACTTATCCTTTGCATGACCAAATGTTTGTGATATAGACTGAATTTCAGGATACATTTATCACAGCTAAAACAGTAAAATCCCCGGGTGGGTTTTAAAATAATAGCCCACACATTTTTCTTCAAGTAAACTAAGAACGACATTTTCATTAGTGTTTCTTTCTCTCAGGAACTATGTGAAAAACAACATTTGCTTTATGAGTCATCACAAAGAAGAGTTAGTTCCAACACAGCTTCAAAAAAGAAAACCCCAGGAGCAGATCCCAGAGTGTAAAAAGCTGTGTGGGAGCGAAGAGCCACGGCAGCTTTCTCTAGACCCCTGACAGCCTCAAGACCTTACACATGCGGACACAGCACAAGAACACTACAATACTTGTGGAGTGTCTCTGTACCAACACACATGGGTCACTCCCATGCCTTTCTTCCAGGAACTGTTTTTAAGAGACACACTGACATTATAAACATACCCAATATTTAATTGCTTTTCCCTGTAAGGAACTACAAGAGATAGATGACTGACTTATAAGGACCTAAGCAATATTTAATTATGAACAAGGCATTAGGTTACACACACACACACACACACAAAACCAACAGACTCAACACTTTCTGCTTTTTCACAGAGCAGTCTTTAAAAGACCAGGTCCTAGTGTTGAGATCTACCTTTTTTTTAAAAAACAAACAAACAACTACATACATGCATACATACATACATACATATGTATGTATGTATATACGAAGGCCAGTCACTTTACCATTCAGACACGTTTCTGGACAGATGCTTACATCTTTTCCTACTAAGATACACTTACCTGTACTGGGTCTTATATTAAAAAAAAAAAAAAAGCCCAGAACACATAATAAGGACAATTTAATTGCACCTATGTTCTAGATTAGGATAGGGTTTTGGCTAGGATTTTAGTGATAATTCCTAGCCCACAAGTAGAAAAACTATGCAGTGTATTTGACAAATTATGAAGTGCAATTTAATGGAAAACAACCTTTATGAATTTTGTATTATAAAACATTTACAGAAATGCTTCTGTAAGACTGAGAAAAATAAGCATTTTTTTCCATTTTTATTTTTTTAGTAATTAGAAAGGTCAATTTCAAAATCCGGGGACCATATTATTTAGAAGCAGCTGTTAATAAAGCATCAAAAAGTTGGCAATTTATCTAAATCTCTGAACAACTATGTTTGTTATTAAGTCACCTATTCTCTTCCTGGATGCTTTTCATGATGGCTTATAGTAATTCAATTTCCTGCAATTATTCTCACTGCTCAGGAATAGAAACTACCTCAGATTACAGCACACAGGCTACAATCAATGCTGATTTATAGATAAATGCAGATTTAATAAATGACATTCAGACATTAGGACAATTTCTTCCCTATGATCGCTGTGAAGAAAGAGCCTACCTACATCAGCAACTTGGCTTTTACCCATACAATGGAATGCTCTGTCCTGTATTTTTTTAGTTAAAACTTTAAAGATCTGATAGGGAATTTTACCAATATAAGCTATAGAAACACAAAAGCTTGAAAAGCACAGATGACAGAGCTTGAAAATAACTTTTTAAAAATTATGATTAACCTAAAGAAAAGAGAAGCCAAAGGCTAAACTCCTTTGTTATTTAAGTTGTAATTTTCCTACTAGTCCCCACCATTGGCAGAAGGGTTCATGATCTTGCTCCCCTTTAAGTAAGAAGACTATAAATCTATGTAAGCAACAGTAAAATGGAAATTAGCTATGACTAAGGAGCATGACTGTCTTCATTCTGAAACATGTCATCCCTAAAGCTGGCAGAAGAAGCCACAAGGGAAGACCGGAAGTTTCAATTCTATCATGGTATGTTTCATATGCAATTAAGAGGATGCCATGTATTTTGTTTTGGAAAGTGAAGGGAAAGTGCATTCTGTAAGGATCAATTTAATTTAGCATGCCATCTGGTGGAATTACATGCCAAGAGTCTTAAAAACCCAAAACAGGTTATTAACATGAACTTTTTGATTTGGTTAAACATCAGATAGTTTTAAAAACTGTTGCACAATTCAAGTTCAGACACTACATAACCTTTGGTGATTTTCTGGTTTGGTTATTCATTGCAAATGGGCAGGAAATAACCAAGCTAGTTTACTACTAGACTTCAACTTCAGTGTTGCCAGCATTCTCTCCTATTCTCCTTTTCTTATCCTGCCTGTAACTCGACAATTTTGTTGTCTTCAAGATAACCCAATACCCACCTGCCCCTTCCCTGCCCCCCCATTCTGCCCCCCGCCAAATAAACTGTTGTGGTTTTCAAAAATAAAAAGGGGAGATACTTATAATTTGTATGCATATATTCACAGTTTTTATTTATTAAAAAATGTACAGTACTTGTGAAAAACCAGAAGACATCAGACACACTCTGTCCTAGCTTTGTTACGTATAGGGGATCCACCCACAGACACTGGCAGGTGTTGAGCACGCAGCTGCCCCGCATCCAGACCCTGACAGGCATTTCCAAAACTTCTGATCTGCCTGGTTTCCAAGTCATCTGAACACTCAAAAGAAATGCATCTGGATCTGCACCTTGGCTATACAATTACATTTTTCTCCTGTATTTCCGTGTGTGTGTGTGTGTGTGTGTGTGTGTGTACTGCAAAATAGAGACTCACTTATTACTGTTAATTAACTAAATGGAAACATCTCAAAACTTTAAAAAGGTTTGCTTGTAGCTTTCATCTAAGTTTATTCTCTATTTAGAGGTTTAGCTATGCTACTGATAACTAAAAAGCACAAATGTAAAAAATTAAAGTTTAAAAATCACACAAATCTTTCATAAAAATGTATAATGGCCTTCCCCCCCCCCATTTATAGGGGAGAGGCAGGGTAGGGGAAGGCTTTTGAGAAGGAAGAAAACAAAAAATAGTATGTACTCTTCAGTGTCAGTGCTTACGTTAGCTCTTCAAGATTTTATAATATGGTGTATGGTACAAAAAAATATACTAACCACGGAGGCTCAGGTGTTGCAAGTTTTCATAAGAAATACTGTTTCTATTATGTTTCCATTGAGAGGTGACTGTGACTCTACACCCATCTTATTTCTAGATAAAATCAGGACTAGCTATGCTGCACCCATAGGTGTGAGTTTGTGGACTGCTCCGGCATTACCATTTCCAAGCCCTGCAGGCCAGGACCCTGTCTCATAAATGTTCATCTGTTAAAACGTTAAGAGGAGCAATCTTGTGTACTGAAGTCACTCTTTAGCTCCATTACATAAAACACAGAGGGGAAAGACATATCTTGCAAAATGGCTTTCAAGTCCAAGCTGAACTATAATTATACTGTGGCACAGAGGCAGCTTGGGGGCACTTCTTCTGAAAACAGCACAATGTTATCGACCTCTGAAGAAATTTAGAATAGCCTTGAGTAACATCCTGAAATGAATAGGCTCAGAACCTCAATCACGTCCTACATCTAGAGCTGAGTCCTTCCAGAATAACTCAGGTACGTGAGAGGTGGAACCCATCTCGGCATCGCTCTCCATCTAGGGGGTAAGAAGTTTCTGTTTCAAAACTATAATTTCTTAACTTTTAAAAGTTATCTTTTCCTACCATATTTAATTAGCAACATAAAACATCCTTTATCTATAAAGTTCTACCCAAGTTCCCTAGAATTTATATACATGTTTTTATTCCTAAATCTGCAAGAAAAAAATTCCTATTTGATATTTGGTAACAGAGCATGAAAAGATACTATACACACACAGTATATACATTATCTGTAAAACACACTTCAAAAATAAGCCAACACACTTCAGCCAAAGTCTACGTTTGCATAGATTAAAAAGAAAACAGAAGAATTATGAATACAATTTTTTGAAGATAGAAAATGGGGAATAAAACTTACAGAATGGCTATGAAGAGAGATCTTTTCCAAACTTTTATTTGTGCACATTCAATTGAAAAAGATAACTTTTACAGGTTCTTTGGTGCCCATATTCAGCATACAAAAATGTAAAAGACTATTCACAAATAAAACACATTAGCTCAAACTGGAAAAAAAATAACAATGACAACAATAAAACAATTTAAGGTAGTGCACATTGTGACAGCTCTGCTTATGGGACATGAGAATTACTGCGAAAATAAATAGAATGTCCTTTTTTAAAAGCAGCAATGTCATGTCTTGTAAACTTCCTTTTTATATTACAGCAAAGTTTGAAATAAAATCCAAAGGGACTGGAGCTTACACTGTAGCCACGAGTGAATAAAAAGAGTCTCTTTCCTCAATTACTGTTGGTCCAGTTTTCCTTTTGTTTTGAGTCCAATGTGCAGCAGGCTTTAAAGGTGCTCAGTTAGAGATTCTAACCAATTAAGTGATGAGTTATAAAATTTCTTTCCTGCTTTCAAACACAAATGGGTAAATCTGTTCCACAGCAGTAGCCACAGCCTTCACATTGGGCCCTATAACACACACAGAGAGGAAGGGTGAGCCAAACCTGAAGACCACACTAGGAAAAACCAACTTCCAGTATATATATACGTTGGAGGGGTGCAGAGCGGGGACTACAACCCCATTAAACAACAAACTACACTTACACATAGAATAATTACCGAGGGAATGCGAATTTTCTCTGGACAATTTAGAGTCTGAAGCATAAAGTGATTTATTTTTAGGGCACCAGTATGAAAGCAAAGCCTATAAAAATTACATCATCAAAGAGGAGAATCAAAGACCTTAGGAGCATGGAGAGAATAACAAATGGAACCAGATGCCCACTATCCTTTTGGTCATCGTCTGCTGATTAGACAACTGAGGGTCACTGAAGTATGGTGAAACTCAGTGGAATGAAACAAAGCTGCTGTCAAATGTCTTACACGAAATGACCTAACTTCCCCTCCTATTTCCTACCACATGGCACCCATGTGTCTACCACTAAGTGGACATTTACCCCTAAGCTCTTCCAAAGTCAGTGTGGATGGGAAAACACAAGCAATGAGGCAATGTTGTCTATTAATCCGTAGAACTCTTGAGAAACCTTGAAAAATGTAATATTTAAGCAAGGACAAATGTTTAAAAACACTGAAAAAAAATTTTCATAAATTTTGAATAAAAACTGCTTCATGGTTGTGGATGTAGCTCTGTGAAAGATTACCAGAGCACTTGCTCTGTTTGGCCTAGATTCTATTCCCAGCACCACAAAACAGTAAGAGTAAATATAAATAACAAAAATGGTTTCACTAATGCAACTGGCATCTTTAGAAGACCATGAAAACTTATGTATTCACTCACTGTAAACTTTGAAGGTAATGAACAAATCCTGTGTCTTGGTTTGTTCCATTCTAACTCACTTTAATCCCTCCACATAGAATAGCACATAGAAAGGCCCAGTGATTGCACATTCACATTTCATCTGATATTTCAGATGTATAATAGTTAACTACTATATATCTATAGTTCTATTATAGTTAACCACTGTAGCTACATAGTAGTTTACTAGGTCAACTGTCTTCAGTTTGTTATGGTGTTTGTCTACAAAATATATTTTTTACATATGTGCTGTCTGATTTTACATTTATCAAGTCTATGGCAGAGTCTCAGAATCTTGGCTCAGAGCAAAGCAAACGACAGTGAAGACCTGTTCCTTAAGATTCATGTAGGATCCTGGCATTTGGTGTCAAGGACCCCAAGGAAGATGAGAAAACCCACAGGATGAGTCAAAACTAAGGCTTGGCTGGGTGGCAGAGACTCATTCGTGAAATCTTAATAATTCAGGAGGCCGAGATCTTGGGATCATAGTTTGAAGCCAGACAACCTGGGCAGGGATGTCTGTGAAATTCTTATCTATAACCACTAAAAAGAAGCAGAGCTGTAGCTCAACTCGCAGAGTGGTATCCTTGAGTGCAAAAGCTTAGGGACAGTTCAGTACCCAGGCCTGGAGTTTAAGTCCCAGTACTGGCACAAAAAAAAAAAAAATCAAGATAAAATAAAACAAAATCTTAAGGCTTACTGGTTGATAGTTTCATTCTCAAAGATGTGAAGTATTCAAGATAACTAAAGATATTTTCCTTAATTCAAGTATGTATAACATTGGGTCTGACTCCCCAAAAATGCCTTTGTGTAATTTATAATCGTGGCAACTTTACAAATCACCCTGTATGTCAACACTACCCTTTGACATGCAGGAAACCACCCTTCCCAAAAGTTGAATATTCAAACAATGCCATAAATACATAGTAAATAGGTACTAGTTAGAGTTGAATATTTTTGCTTATGCAAATCTGTTCCTCTTGGGAAGATATGCAAGATATAAATTTAAATTTTTTAAAAAATTATACTATGATGATATATATATATGAGAAAACTGAAAACTATTCAACCATCTAAGGAGAGTACACTCACACAATGAGCACTGGAAAACCAAGAGACTGACAACAACACAGACAAAGCTCACTATGAAAAATCAAGACAAAAAGCACAGTAAATAGTAGGTACAGACAGCACAAAAGCAGATAATACTGATCTATACTGTTAAAACAGGACAAACCAGACAATGTTTCAATTTTGGTATGGTTATCTCTTACATAGCTCAATCTGTTTTGTCAAGGTTGGCTTCCCCATCATAGATTACCTGTTACTGTGATACTTCCTGTTGAAAAAATCTGTAATGTAGCTCTTAGAGACTTTATCCTGTAGCACACAGCAGGATGAAGTTCAGGTTCGTAACTATATTTAAAAAAAAAGGTACAAGTAGTATATGCATTTAAAGCTGATAGGCAATTTCAAATTTGGTAAGTTTATATTAATTCTTCAAAGACCCACCTGGCATGAGGTCTATTGTTCTTTGTGAATTCTGGCAAACGAATTTCAAAGGGCATGTTACAAACTGCCAGGACATTTACAACCTTAAAATCTGTAAAAATTACCTTTGGGAGAAAAAGTAAAACGCAGTGAGTTATTTTGAAACAAGAAAAACCTGCTTAACAGATATCCTAAGCAGGAGTCTATTATTAACTGAAAGCTATAATTTGATAGAAAAACACTTCATTAGAAAATAGCAAAAGCCTATAACTGCATAATGAAGTCTAAATATCTGAGGTCTTTTGAATATTACATTCAGATTAATTTTAATTCTTTAAAATGGGGTATTCTAGACTACTGAGAAAGTGGGGGAAAAATAAAAAAAAATCAAAGCCTGGTCTTCCTTCTGAATAAACAAAACAGAAAGCTCTCATTTTAAAAAGTCAATAAACAGAGTGTGCATTGGGCTCAAAGGTGATATACTGCTCTTGTATTCAATAGGGTAAAACAACATTTCTTAAATTTAATGTTTATTTTCCTTGTAGTAAGGATGATAAAACTATGTTTTTAACTGACTGAGCCTTCCTCAACACTTTTAATGCTTTCCTAAGAAGCTCCAAGGCTGAAAACGTTCTCTTAATAGCCATTCAAATAACTGAACTGTTTCATCTAATTATCTTTTCAACATTCCTCCTAAAACCAGAATTATGGAGAAACTAACCATCCTTCCAACTCAGTACTTGTACAAAGCAATAGAAAGCCAGCAAAATGCCAGATAGCACCCCCACAGAGCTACACCTCAAGGCTCTCTGATACCAATGGTCAACACCAAAAGCCCGGCTTTCTACCGGAACTTCATTCTGAATTTGTACCTCTGAGATTGAAGTCAGATAAACAATTTCCTATAGCTGTTTCTGTGAATGTTGCCACATCCCAAACAGGCTGGCTCACCTCTTTCAGGGCCACATCTCACCTTCCACGGTCACAAACTCATCTGCAAATGGCCTAGCAAATCTTTCATCACAAGCAGTAATTTTAACTGAAAAGCTGCCAGGCCAGCAAAAGTCAACCCAACATCTTACTGCCACCCAGGGTCCATGTCTGCAACTCTGCTTACCAGCCCGACTCAGCATTCTCATGATGACCAGGCGTATTTTTAATTGGGGATGGGGATAAGAGGAGAGAGACAGGTATGTAAAAAACTAAAGCTGTTGAAAAGGCAATTGACTTAATGGGATAATTTAGAGGAAAGGATAAGATCTCCTAAAAATATCACATAGGCATGTTGTTAGTTTTCACACCAAGGGCAGTATTAAAAAAAATTCCTGGTAAAGTTCCATCATAAGAACTCTTGTAATTTATTTATTAAAGTTTTGAATTTTACACATGTAAACCTTTGGGTACTTCAGTATGGACAGTTTTTGAAGAAAATGTTACCTGAAAACCTAGCTTCTGCAGACTGCGAGCTAAACGTCTGGCACCAAATTTAGCTTCTTCTTCACTACATTTTCAGGAAAGAAAAAATATGATCAGTTATACAGGAAGTAAATCTTACACGAGTAATACATCAAACTTTACATATGATTTTTTTTAATTTCAAAAAATGTCCTTTCCATGGGAGAAATACAGAAAATAAAAACTAATAACCCAAGTATGTTTACCTTGTTGCTCCAGTGCAAATAATTTTTCCTGAGGACCAAATTGTAGCTGTAATTCTAGGTTTTCTAAGCTTCATTAATACTTTCTGGAAAGAAAAAAAAAAGATTACCTAGTAAGCATTGTTAACCTTCCCATATGGTTCTGCTTTATGTGGCTATGTTAAATACCCAAGGTTTACCCCAAGCTTATCAGGGTTGAAATACCTGTTCTCTAAATTGCTCATTCTGAAATCAATTTCAATACTTAACACAAAGACTTAATTATTCTATTCCCCAAGGACTTATTTTCTTTGAGACAGCATATCAGCTATGTACTCTAAAACTGGCCATCCTCCTGCTTCAACCTCCCAAGTGCTGGGATTAGAGATGTCTACCACCACACTCTGGTTTAAGAACTTTATCAAAATGCGTTCATAAATTGCTTTGTTGATGACAGCTATCTTATACAATAATAGTAAGTATACTTTTTAAAAGTGAGATCAACATAAATCTCTCGTTATATACAAAGAATCAACAATATACAGGCACATTAAACGTTTCAGCTCTCATTTTATTCCAGTCACACCAATGGAATGCCAAATGTCTTCACATACCAAGAGCTTTGTGGTTGCTGCTAATGTCATCTGGAGTACTCGTCCTAATCAAGCTGACACCAGACATCACCTTCATGGAGAACCCTCCCTGACTAGCCCCAAAACTACCCACCCCTCCATCGTTCTCAATTCACAACACTTATAGGTCATTACCTCATAGCGTATCTTACAGCTGAGATGCCTACTGTATATACAAGTTCCAAATGGGAATGAACTTCAAAGTGCAAAGTGCAGGAGAAATGCAAAAGCTGGAGTTATTATTTGAGATTCTTATATATGAAAGGCATTAAAAAATATTCGATTTTATTTTACTTTACTTTTTCTGTGCCAGTACTGGAGGGCTTAGCTAAGGGCCTAGGCATGGTCCCTTAGCTGTTTTGTTTAAAGCTGGCCCTAGATTACTCTACTACTGCTCTACTTCTGGCTTCTTAGTGGTTAATTGAAGTTAAGTCGTACAGACCTTCCTGCCCAGGCTATATTTGAACCATGTTCCTTAAACCCCAGCCTTCCGAGTTGTTAGGATTACAAGCATGAGCCACCAGTACCTGGCTTCCATTTTATTTTTTGAGCCATGCTCTAACTAGGTAGCCCAAGGTGGCCTCAAACTCATCATACAAAAAGAAAAAAGGAAAAAAAAACCAAAACTAAGGTATTACTAATAAATTTAAAAATCTTTAAATTTAGATCTCTGAAATTTTAGTTGAATTTAACTCGCTGTAACTTCATTTCTAGTAAGAACTAATGATCCCCTACCCCACACACACACACAAAAAAAGGTTTTGATAAACACTAAAGTTAAATTTAAAATGTCTAGGTTAAGATATGAGCAATATTACAATATTACAATATTACTTTTACCTATTGTTAATAAATAAAAAAATCTATCTTGACTAAAGCACAATGTAATAAGCTGGGCACTGTGGCTCACGCCTGTAATCCTAGCTACTCAGGAGGCTGAGATCTGAGGATCGAGGTTCAAAGCCAGCCTGGGCAGGAAAAGTCCGTGAGACTCTTATCTCCAATAAACCACTAGAAAACAGGAAGTGGTACCGTGGCTCAAGCGGTAGAGCTCTCGCCTTGAGATGAAGAGCTGAGGGACAGCGCCCAAGCCCAGAGTTCAAGCCCCACGACCGACAAACAGAAAAAAAAAGGAATAATTAAAAACATCCTAAAATTATTGTAGCAATAGTTGAATAAGCAAACACAAAAGCATAAAGGTTCCTTGCTTCGGTTTAAAGAAATTGAGAGAACAATATGTCTCTATAATTAATGAGCTTTGTTAAAACTTGGAAATAAATTATTTACAATATTATTTCCAAAGTCTGCCCCTTCCATAAGATGAGGGTAGCATCCATAGGGCTTAGCATATGTGAAGGTCCTCAGAAACTATCTATAGATACATGCACTGCAGCGTCCTTCACAGCACTATACAATTAGGCCACACATGTATGTATACATACCAAAATGCACATACTTACTCCAACATCACGCTTATAAATTACATTTGCTCCCTCCAAAGCAATCTTCCTTAAGTTCAAATGGCATCTTGTTCTAAAAACACAGACTACATTTGTAATTAGAATGTCCAAAGCAACATCACTGTCTGCATCCATTGGGAAAGTTTAAAATTGAGCTTCCCACCACGAAGATCACATCCTAAGAAATAAAACAAAATGGAGTTACTAAATGAATGTTCTATTTATTTCACACAAATCATCTTGAAATTAAAGAAAGAAATGAATCTATATTATTTTTGAAGGTTATAGGATTAAATCATGTTCCTTTTCTCCACAAAAATTGTCACTTTAAATAAAAGGGGGCGATATAATAGTCCTTCAAACTCTGGACATAACTTTCTTTCCTTAAATAATAACCGTTACATGTCAAGAATTTGCTGGATTTTTCTCCAGCAACCCACTTTTAACATTTCTATGTCCCAGGCATACCACAGTGATGGTGAGACCTGATATGTACCACGTTTAAGAAGCTGGACTCAGCAGTCCCAATGTCCAGACTTTAGAATTATACCCACCGCACACAACCTGCTGTGGCTATGGAAGGTAGTACTTTGCTCTATTTCAGGCATACTAACTGATTTCTTAACTTTAAAGCAAAAATATTAACTCCTCATTTACTAGACATTTATTCCTTCTTCAGATACTAACTACTTTTCTATCTTTGAGGATACTGGAAAAAAAACACTGAAGAAGTCAAAACCTTTGGCTCTCATGGACCTGATCAACTTGTGTGAGCAGGGAAGAACTCTAGCAAAAAGCTACACAGCATCATTTTTTATCACGGTTAGATCCTTTCAAATACATTTTTCATGACAATTACAATAGAGCATTTATATAATGAGCAAGCCCTAGCTTTACTAAGCACATGACCCATATCCAGCTAAAAAAATTGTTTGGGTTTTTTCCATATTAAAAAAAAAGAAATAAAGAAACAGTGGCACCAGGTGTTGGTGGCTCACACCTGAGGATCACAGTTTGAAGTCAGCCTGGGCAGGAAAGTCTGAGACTCTTATCTCCAATTAAGCTGTGGCTCAAGTGGCAGAGCACTAGCCTTGAGTGAAAAAGCTAAGAGACAGTGTCTGGAACTTGGGCTTCAGCACCAGTACTAGCATGGATATACATGCACATGTGTGCCCATTTACACACACACACACACACACACACACACACACACACACACACAATAATCAAACAATGGCAATTTGGCTAAGCTAAACCTCTCCTCTCACACAAACCAGCAAATAATAAAACATACTATAATAACCTTCAAGATTCCTTACAGCCACAATATGTAAAAAATTCTCCTTTATGAGTGAAATTATACGATGATGCACTGAAGATGCCAAGAGTCCACATAAAGAAAATTTGCAATTAAAAAAATTCACAATTAAAAAAAATTCTTTTCTGCATTTTAGTTTGTGACAAATCTAAGTGACAAAATACCTCTTTAAGAGCAGCATATAATATTCAACTCTGCATCAATTTTGTGTATTTTTTCTGTTTCAAATGTAAGTACTGTTACCATGGCTAACATTAAATAAATAACACCACCTTCACAAGTACTTACAGTGCAAAATGCTTACTTTATTCCTAAAAACATACTTTCATGGGAAGTTTTTCCCTTCGTTCCCATTTTCTCTTTAATCAGGGTACCAATTTGTTTTTCTGTTCCTTGTGTACATTTGAGCTACCTCAAATCACTCATGTGACAGGCATGGAGCAGGGTGGCCGCGAGGCCTGTGCCTTAGTGTTTTCACATGTAGCATAGGGCAGATGGTGCCAGCTACAGAGTGGTGTGGAGAGTATCCCGAGCGTATGAGGTGGGGCTCAGTGGTAGACAGCTTGTCTCACAGCATGAAGTCCTGGATTCCATACCCAGTACCTCACCTCAAAATGATGATGGATGATGGTCATTACTACTGATAAGGTAAATACAACAAGTAATCCGGTATTTCTTATTATTAATTCTTATGGTTTATACCACTAGGTTTTCAGCTATTTTGCTACAAAAACTATGAAGTGACTATGAGAAAGAAACTTCTGGTTGCTCACTCTATTCTTCCTTCATAATGACCAGACCCCAGATATCTAGCTGAGTACACTGTGACAGAAATAAAACACTATAGTGTTTGGACTCTTTAGCAACAGGTATTGCCAAAATGGCCATATGACTATGTTCTGGCTAATACCATATATATGTTTTCTGGGATGTCTGCTTAGAAAGAGAAACTAAGCCAGCAAAGACTCTTGGAAATGAGAGCTGGAGCTTAAGTAGGTATCTAGGGCCATGAGACAATGATAAGACAGACGTGGCCTCGGCCCTGTGCTATGAATCTCCCTATTGTCTCCACTTAATTATGGATCTCATGAGCATGAGAGAGAAATTTCTCTCATGTTGGCTTTTTGTTATCTGCAGCAAACCTAATGCTACCCATGTTCAAGAATGTGAAAACAGCCATTTTCATCTCTGTAAGCCTTTTACCACAAAATTCAAGAAAATGTGTATGTAGTTTAATTGATCATGATTCGTAGTACTTTTGTAAGTTTGTGCAGATCCAAATAGAATATGCTTAAGCACCAGCATCAGTATTTGTGCTTCTCTCAATCTTTTTTTTTGTTTTTTGGTCAGTCGTAGGGCTTGAACTCTGGGCTTGGGCACAGCTGTCCCTGTGCTCTTCAGCTCAAGGCAAGTGCTCTACCGCTTGAGCCACAGCACCACTTCTGGTTTTCTAGTGGTTTATTGGAAATAAGAGTCTCACGGACTTTCCTGCCCAGGCTGGCTTTGAACCTCGATCCTCAGATCTCAGCCTCCTGAGTAGCTAGGATTACAGGCGTGAGTGAGCCACTGACGCCCGGCTTTCTCTCAATCTTGATGTAAGGCTTTTCTACTTTGTTTAAATCATCTCTATGAATTTTTTAAACCCATGTTTATCATTTCTTTCCTTCTGTTGATATACTTTATTTTTTCTAATCTCTTTCATTGTGAAGTATTTAAGTTGAATGTTTAGTACATTACACTTTTGCTCTTTTTTAAAAAAAGGCCATTATACCCTTGATATAAAAACATTTAAATTTTATTTTTTGTATAAATGATTTGCTTTTAGAATTTTTTTCAGCTTATTTAGTAGTGAAGGAAATGTTAAATAAATCATGTAGCACCTACTTATACTGGCAACACAGGGCTGGCAAAGTTATGAATAAGCCAGAATTTTCTTCCAGATTTGGTACAAAAAGTCATCTGGTGTTTAGTATTCAATTTAAAATGTGTGTGTGTATGTGTGTGTAGCGCTGTATAGAATTATAATCACTAAGCATGCATCTCGAGAAATATTTGAGTTAAGTACAATAAGATTATATGTAGGAATTCTGTTAATAAGAAACTTGTTTACTTAAAATAAATAAAGCACAGCAAATCCCATTTAACACACTACTGTATATACTTTCATAAAGCATAAACTTACAGTTCCACATTGTTTTTAGTGGAAAAAAACTGCCTAAGTCTGATAATGAGCACATTTTGTTTTCTCTATCTATGTAGGCACTTATAAACACTCATACCTGCCAAAATGTTAAAAAAAAAAAAAAGTATTCTATCCAGAGGATTGGTACATCAGGCTGACTTCCTTTTCTGGTGCCAAACCTAGGACTTGAACTCGGGGCCTAGGTGCCTACCATTTAAGCACCATTTAGTGCTTAATTGGAGGTAAAAGTCTCACAAACCTTCTTGTATAGGCTGGCTTTGAACTGCAATCCTCAGATCTCAGCCTACAGAACAGCTAGGATTACATGTATGAGTCACTGGCACCCAGCTTTAATTCTTCCCTTTCTACTTTCTTGGTAGAGTCTGGATATTGTATGTTAGGTGTACTATAAGAAAAATAGATTTTCCATTTTGATTTAAATAAGTATCAATAACTTGCCCACTGTCCATGGCCTACTTATTAAGGCAGGGTTCAATCAAGTGCTTTGTTCTGTTTCTGAAGTAAATGACTAGTAAGAGTTTAATCTGTCAAAGATTCCCTCCTAAAAAAAAGTTTGAAAGTTAAAAAGTATGCCATTTCTAGCTTTCTATAAGCTATTAAAATGCACCTGAATGCTGAAAAACATTTCTTCCTTCTTTATGGGCAAGAATATATACAGCCTTATTTTAGGTCTTCCAACTTACAAGTAGCATTGCAAACCCTTAATTCAGCAACTGTGACACACAGTAACCTTAAATCACCTGGAAAACACTGCCACCTCCTGGTCCTAAAGATAAGTTTCAGAAAAGATGACTACATTTTACATTCTCCATACAGGCAAGTAAGGAAAACTGAAAAGCCACTATAAACACTGTCATACAAAACTCAAATTCATAATGAAAGTTCAAAAATTCAAACTAAATAAACCATATTCTACACAAAAGTAGAAACCCCCTCCTTGAACTATATTTATATTGCAGTTGATTAGGCTGGGGGAGAGGTCTAGAGAGCTTAACCACAAAATTAGTATGGATAATTTGAGAACTGGCAGAAGCAGGGGACGACTGGTAATAGATCAGTACTGAAAGCATAACTAATGTTGAGTCACCTTGAGATCCTACTGTTCTAAAAGATAAGACAGAGCATCCAAACTAACCTAACATTCTTTTTTTTTTTCTTTTTTTGTCAGTCATGGGGCTTCAACTCTGGGCCTGGGCCACTGTCCCTGAGCACTTCAGCTCTACCATTTGAGCCACAGCACCACTTCCTAACCTAACATTATTTATAAAGCTCCCAAAACAGAAGATGAGAAATTCTGATTCCAATACAGTATCTGACAAGTCTCACAGCATAAGCTTGTGACCAGTGTGAAGACAAAGCATGATTTTGCCGACTAGAAAGGGCATAGTCTCTTTTACATCTACTTGATAAAATACATCATAAATCCTACAAAGGAGATGCTGAATTAGCATTTACATTCAGCTTGTCACTCACCTAACTTCTCTGTAAATCTTCATTTTTACTTCTATAAATAAATCTGTGATAGTATCATCAGTATATCAAGATTGTTTTGAAAGATTAAATGTGGTTATCTATGTAAAAAACATAGCAACTACCATGTTTAGTCAAATACTATAACTAAACATTATTATTTAATGAAACGATAGTCCTTGAGAAC